GTACTTCAGTGGTGGTTTTGGCCTTGTTAGCTGTTGTCTGCTCTCTGCTGCACCCAACGAGATATGACTGTTGTTGTTTTTTTCAGTACACCACAGGTGGTCAGGAATACTACAGTACCAATCACAAGAAAACTCAGCCAAAACAACCCGACCACACACAAACAGATATCTGCTGCTTGCTGTTTAATGGGATTATTAGCAGAAATCTACATCATTGCTTAAATACCAGACAACCCAGTATTTGCTTTAACTAATTTGTTTGACATTCACAGTTATTTAGCTGATATTTAGTTATTTTTGGAAATTACAAGTAAAAATACACTATTGTTCTTTGAAAATATGCATCACTTATGGTATATATCATCTTTCTATCCAACCAGGACACTCAAAGTGTTTTACATTACATTCTGTGCCCTCATTTAACCATTCACACAACACTTTGTCTCTGTAGATAGGTCATTCTATTGGAGACTAATCAGTGACTAAATCACAGTCATACTCTGATGGGACACACATCAGAGGCTGTGGGGGTTCAGKGTGTTGCCCCAAGGACGACTGCTCTAATCAGCTGCATTCGTCCCGTGCTTAGATTATAAAATAAGGAAGACTCTCAGCTACTGCCACACCAAATTCTAGTTCAACATCCATTTAAAAGGCTGAATTGTAGCCATCTTAAATTGTGTTTTCTCCTAAACGTAATCAGTCGTAGAACTACATCCAGTGATTGTTTTCTGAAAGTTTTAATAAAATATCTCCAGTAGTTTATGAGATATTTTGCTAACAGACAGGCAAAATGTACATTGCTTTAATAGTCATATGGTGCACATTCATCACCGTGACATTTTACTCTTTTAGTTCTTAAAAAATAAAAGAAAGTAAACGTTCTTAGTGTTTCTTGTTGACAAGAAAAGAACCGACTGAACTGTGTTCCAGCAGGTGTCAGCAGCTTTTAAACTGTAATGATTTCTGAGGTTACACATTAAATCAGCTGTCATATTGACTCAGTCAGCAGATCTTTGACATCACCGGCTGATTTAACCAAACATACATTTTAATGATGAACATTTTGGCTCAGGGACATTTCTGCAGCAGCTGATCTCTGTTAGTGATGTTAGTAAACTCAAACACCCGGTTCCTCCAGTTCTACACAGCTGCGGTGATGCAAACATGCACCTCAGTCAGGCTTAATTAGAAATCACAGTTTTTATTGTTAAATTTAAAAGTTTGTGATGAACCACAATGCTACTTAGAGAGTAAATACATTTATTGTGACATTTTGAGGCTTGGAAATAAAGCTTTCTTGTTGATTTTAATGAAGTTATGAGTCAACAAATGTCATTTTGTTGTGTTTTAGCTACAAGATAAAGCTCACAGTAATGTTTTAATGTAATAGATTTATATTTTGTTTTATTTATATTTTGTTCCACAGCTTGGGTTATCCTCCTTCCATCGAGAAGTCATCCATTTTTCATGTGCAGATCCAAAGTGGGCTTTAAAAATGTGGGAAAACTTGCCAACATTTAGCCTGGACGTGAGACTGTCACTGGTTGGCTCGTTGCTGGAGCGGAGAGCTTTGCAGCAGACGGGCTTGAAGGACGTCATTCGAAAGGTGTTGCAGGTAAAACGAGATCTGCTCCCGTGACTCAGACTCAGGGGGAAGAAAACATTTGTAAACCAGTCTAGCTCGACTTGTAACGGACGTTTTGCAAAACAAAACTTGAATAATTTCGATTTAAAGCCAGGCTTAAATGTAATTCGGTTGAAGACTTAAATAGTTTGTTTTGCCTTTGTTCTGGTGGATGGAAGGGTTTGAGTGTGATCTTATATTGTATAACCGAAGAGACTAAGGTGCAGTTTCTATAAAAATATTTACTTGGGTTAAAGTTCATGTAGCTGCTTTATCTCCTGGCTCCACAGTTGGGCGTTCTTAGAGAAATCAGTGTTTAGTGTTTAAAGCTCGAAGTTATTCTGACTGCGTTTCAAATAAAATGGTCCAAAACACCTTTAGAGCTCAGAGGTAAACTGAGAGAAATCATATTTTCTATCTTCAGTCAAACTTGAAGGAGGCCTTGTTGAGTGACAGCGTGGAGTATCGCACTGCCTTCCTCGCAGCTCTGGTTGTCGTCATGACCGCTTTACCTTTTCCACATTCGAACCCCCCAGTGGAGAGTTTTCTGGCCGAGTGTCTGGATTTGTTACTCACAGACTTGGAGGAGCAGAAAGGTGGACCCGAGTTTCTGTCCCACGCTCTGAATGTTGCCAGTTTGCTGCTCTCCCAGTGGCCAGATGCCAGGTTTTTATACCTTTTTATTATATTTTTAAACTTTATTTACATCCCTTCCTCCTGCTCTGACCTTCTTCTTATGTTTTAAGTTTAAAGATCCCGCAGYTCCAGCGCTGGTGTGGGATCCTGGAGCGTGATCGAGCTCCAGACGCCCCTGAAGCGCTCAGGCTGGCGTGTGGTGAAGCTCTTTGTGTGGCTGGAGCTCCTCTTCTCAGCAGCCTGAGAGAACACCCCGCTCTCCCTGCCATCATGATGAGGTAATGATCTGATCACGCTGCTGTTTTTTTTTAATGACAGACTTCATTTAAAAGTGCTGAACCTTCCTGGTTTAGGTTGATGAACACGGGCCTCCACCTGCTCCAGGACCAAAGCCAGCAGGTGAAGCTGAAAGCAGCCCGTTTTACCTCTCTGCTCCGTCGCGCGACGACAGGAGACAACCAGAGGAGCGTCTGCGTCGTGCAGGCGAACCTGGCGCTGCCGCTCCTCCTGGACCTGCTGCTGGAGGCGTGCGGGGAGACCGCCGGCGCACTGGAGGTGCTGCTGTCCCACCTGCCTCAGTCTGACCTCAGATCGGTGCTGAGAGACGCCTCGGCAGCAGGAGGGTGTGTGCTACCTCTGAACCCCGTACACCCGTTTGATCCCATCTGTCTGCACYGCTCATCTGTCGTCGTCGTTCTTTCCCTCAGGTGCACCAGCCTGTATGAGCAGGACGAGGCCAACGTGTTTGCAGAGCCCTCCGTCATGTCGGCGCACGTGCTGCCCTACCTGCTGCAGATGGCTGAGAAATCCTCTCAGTCCTTGGCTTTGGCTCCGATTCTGAATTCATGGGCAGARGAGAACGCTGCGCAGGTGCTGGACAGCCTCGCAGTCTGTGAACAGCTGCAGCCAGGTATCACTGTTATTATCTGTTTGTGACATTATATTTAGGGTTAATTAGCCCTTGTTTTATTATTCTTTTTGTTCTTTCTCAGCTAAGACGTTGACCTCCTCTTGGCTGGCTCTCCTCACTGACCCCCGCTTCCACAGCAGCCTGTGTGGCCTGCTAACCAGGGCCGCCTTCCTCCTCCGTCTCCTGAAAGCCCCCGCCGGGGCACGACACCTCTGCGACCCTTCGTCGGTGCGCGAGCGTTTTCAGTCCGTTTGTGCACTGCTCAGTCAGAACGGCGTTCAGTTCCCCTCTGCTTTCTCAGCTGCCGTGGCTGGAGAGCTGCCACTGTGACTGAACAGGAGACGTGTTTTCGAAGCATGAACTCTCTTTCGATGTGGCCCAGCTGATATTTTAAGAGCGATACAGACATGCTGTTCTCAAATAAGGACTGCAGTTGCTGATGCCGCAGTAAATCAGCACTTGGACGTAGTTATGTAAGACCTAAGTGGCTGCTGTTCCTTAAAGGGATCCCTGATTAGTTGTAACATTAGACTTTATTTGATAAACATATATTTTAACTGTAAAATAAAGACTGTAAAAATACTGTAGGATGTTTAGTTCTGTACATTTTTTAAAATATATTTTAACACAGATGGAGCCATTTTATTTACACACAAAGCATTCTGGGTAAATGATGACGTGGATAGGTCCTCGGTGTGAACGAGCTATATCCACCCTGACGGTTAATCTTGGACAATATCTGATGATCGACTCTTTTAAATGAAACCAGAGAGCGTTGACAGAGAGGAGAAGGTAGAAATGACTCAGCCTATAACTGAAAATATGGCTGGAGGACAACAGAGCTGCTTCATGGAAGAAGAACCTCAGCTTAGCCTGTTAGCTTTAGCATTAGCCTCGACTCTATATTGTCTTATATGTATTAGCTCAGTGCTAGCGTGACAGACAAGCTAAACTGAGGTCCTCCATCTATATTTTCAGTTACAGGCTGAGTCATTTCTACCTTCTCCTCTCTGTCAACGCTCTCTGGTTTCATTTAAAAGAGTCAATCATCAGATATTGTCCAAGATTAACCTTCAGGGTGGATATAGCTCACTAGCAGCCTCGCACCGATGACCTATCCACATCATTTACCCAGAATGCTTTGCGTGTAATTAAAATGGCCCTGTCCATGTTAAAATGTATTTTTAAACTTTTAGTTTAAAAATGATAAAAACTGAACATCCTACAGTATTTTTACAGTCTTTATTTCACAGTTAAAATATATATTTATTAAATAAAGTCTAATGTTACAACTAATCATGGATCCCTTTAAAGGGGAACCCTTTGAGTTTCTGAAACTTCACTCAGTTCTTAAAGTTTCATTATTCTCAGCGGCACTCAGAACAGTGGCTTCAGGTTGTATCTTCATGTGCTGAGCAACAGTAGCAGGATGATGCAGTGATGTAATGCAGCAGCAGAAACAGCATCAGGGAAAATTGCCCCAGGAGGGAGAGGATGGTGTGCGGTTTAATTTTCCATTAGAAGCCTTCTGCCAGGATAAGTGTCCATTTTCCAACCACATCTGAGCCGCTGATGAGAGGATGGATCTGATAAGAGAGCCTTACATCATCGGTTTGTCCACTGATGCTGTTTAAGATAGACATTTGTCAGGATGGGACAAACAACATGAGACATTTCTGGTCTGGATATCTGGATTCAGTGAATATCAATCAGTATTTATTTATGTTTTTTCTTTTTTCTTTACATTCACTTCCTTTCTGTGTGCATCAAATGTTGCATCATCGAACATCTGGGTTATCCCACAGCTGTAACAATGAGTTTGTGTTAATGATTCGTATGCAAATCTTGTGCAACGTGTTTCTTGTGACACAAAGTCCACACCCAGTGTGCAGAGCTCAGCGACAAAAACAAGCAGCTGAAAGAAACCTGGAGGTGTTTATATCTGAGAGCACAGCACAAAGCATGTTAATGATACTGTATCCTTGTTTAAACACATTATAATGTATATTTAATTATTTTAGCTAAAGTTTTACGTGAGTCTTTTAGCTGAGAACTTCCTGCAGACAAACTGTTTGTATAAAATGAGCATCTGGCCTGATAGTTTTTGTTGTTGTGCCTGAGTGTGTCTGAACTCTGTAAACCAGGTTCCTGCTACTTAAAGAATTAACCGTGACAACAAGGAACGAGGCCAGATGCAGTACAGCCGCTGTAATCAAGTGTTTGTACATAGGTACAAACACACATGGGACATTTGGAATAATAATTAGTGTTTTTCCACTGATGTTTCAGGTTGTCTGAACATGATTGAGTCGTGTTTTCTGTTTTAATCCTAAAATTATAAAAATCTTAATGAATTATTTTTGTGTATACAGCAGGGTTTTGTTATTATATGTAAAAATTGCGTTCTAAGTGATGAATTAAACTGTTCATTTTAATCAGTTTTTTTTCATGTGATCAGTTCTACATTTTGCACAAATAGTTATTTCATATTTTTAAAGCTTTAAATGAAAAACAGTAAATATCTTTTTAAAAATAATGTTTCACCATGTAGATTTTGCCGTTACTGTATGTAATTATTATGTGCATTGAAGAAATTTAAGCATTTTGTGTCCTCTGAGACCGTACAAATAAAATGAATGAATTTTGACATTTTTAAGATGTTCCATGTACAGCAATGTTTAGGCATTTGTTACTTTTGAATTTAGTGTCTTTTTACAAGCAGGATGACAATGTCCAAAAGTATTTGGGCCTCTTTTTTTTTACTTTTTCACCTCATTTTTGAATTATTTAACAAATAGCATTTATATAATATCACATAAAACTAAACAATTTAAATAAAAATAAACAAAAAGGTAATGTCTATTCACATTTTTCACATCCTATTTTTGCATTAGACAGTAATTCTTGCAGAAAAGCTAGCTACAGCTGCTGCTATTTGCACTAACCGTGTAATACAAAACAGACAGCAATGTAAAAGGTTAAGTGTTCACACTGACCACTATAATTTTAAAATGAAAGTTTTACAACACTCAAACTAGTCGTTAACTTGTTAGTTCTATCAGAATCAAACTGTTACATGTGGTTTATCTATAACAGGTAAGATATTAATTGTTTTTCTACAGAATCCCATTTTCAAAAGCCTGAGCTTTTTGAAATTCAGAGAATTTGCAAAGTGGATCTTAAAGTTCAAAGTGTGGTGAAGCATTCAGAACAGATGTTGGGTGTTTGCTCTGCTTATTGCCTTAAATCTGAGTAAGCGTCTTCATTGAAAAGTGGATCAGTTAAGTTGAGTCTCACACACTGGCTGGCCTCATTACCAGTCAGCCAACACACACACACACACACACACNACAAAGACTTTATTACTCTGCAGAGCCCACTTCTGAGCAGAGCCAGCAGGAGGAGAGGCCTCATGGGTTGAGAGGAAAGTCTGGGAAACAGAAAGGCTGCAGATGCACCCAGAGCCAGATTAAACTGCACTCAGATGGGGATCAGACAGGGAAAGAGGTGACTCAGAGTATGGAATAAAAATGGAAAGCAGGGCAGCTTTCTGAAGACAAGCAGAATTTGGAAACTGCTCTAAAGTTTGTTGTTTTTTTTGTTTTTTGTTTTTTTTGGGCGGTGGGCAGACAGACAGAAACATGAATAAAAACCTTGACTTTTCCTTCCCTGTTAGGATAAGAGTCCAGACTGTTCTGCAGCTTTGTGTTTTCTCATGAATCAAGCTTGAGGAGCCTTTAGGACCTTGAAGTCTGCTTCTGCAGAAAGACTCCTCCTCCTCCTCCTCCTCCTCCTCCTCCTTTTCCTCCCGCACTGAAGGCTGTTTATACACAGACAGCAGCAGCAGCTCCTCTGACAAAAACAAGGGCTGGGGCTTTCAGAGAGGAGCAGTGTGTTTCATGCATAGGCTCTTTCTCTCTCCATTGTTCTGTTTTTGTTTGTTTTAGAGGATTTAAAAAAAACCCCATCATGGCAGAACATTCAGTTTGTCAGCTGTTGAAAATGTTTTTGTCTCTGCATGTTGTTTTYCTGAGCGTGGCCATCGCAGCAGAGAGCGCATCAAATCCAGATCAAACAGGTAAAAGCTACTCATTTAGAAGCTGCTGTTGSTGTTTTAGTCCCCATTTTTGGGGGGTTTAAATTTAAAAGCATTGCACGTGCTTTGAAAATACATGCTTAATCCATTGAGATCTATTAGTTTTTTTCTGTTAATTGCTCAATATGTTTATGTGTTGCCACATTTATTTATTTTTTTGTTTGTTTATTTATTTATTTATTTCAGATTGTGTGAAATCCAGAGGTTTGGACTACAGAGGAGAAGAGCAGAAATCTTCCACAGCTCTCATCTGCCTAAACTGGACTAATACTACCAGAGACTATGATGTTGACAYCCATCCAGATTCACAAACAGGTAAACAAGCTGATATGTTTTATGCTTCTTTTTTTTAAATAAAGTGGAAACACATCTTCTAATTGCTGAGTCTTGCTGAAAACTGGAGTCGGATTAAAAAAATGTTGGCAAAAGTTTATTTAGAGTTGATCAAACATCTAACATGATGTGAAAACACAGAGCAATCCTTTTTACAGCCCCCCACTGCAGACCCAGTCCCTCCAGTTCGTGGTGTTAAACGGCTTCTTTCAGCCAGCAGATGCTGTTTCCATTGTTTGTGCTCAGGGCAGYCTGTGAACATGAGTCCTGCAGTTTATCCACACTGTGGGAGTGAGCCGTGCTGCAACAAGGATTCAGTAACAGTCGTTTGTTTCTCTTATCACTCGTCTCGTAGGTGTCGGGGATCACAACTACTGCCGAAACCCAGACGCCTCTGTGAGGCCTTGGTGCTACATTACAGCTCCAGATGGGACCATCCAGAGGCAGTTCTGCGCAGTCGAGGCATGCAAAGGTTAGGAAACGTTGCACACAATTAATATTAATCGTTTTTGAATCACGTGCTCATGCGTGGTGTATATTTTGTGCAAAATGAGTTGAAAGTCTACTGCAAATAAAGCTGCGGCTCATTAGAAAACTCCCCCCAAATAAGTTTTCTTTTAGTTTATTATTCACACGCCGTTTAGTTTTCCACCTAAGACGGCAGTCAGTAGTGGGTCAGTCGGTCAGGGTATCTGTGAGAAACACACAGGCTTCTCTTTGTTTCCTGCTGAAACGAGCTGAGAAGTCAAACAACAACAAAGCTGAGCACATGTCAGAGGGTTCAGACTTGCACCCAGCCCCGAAGCTGCTCCCATTGGCCCCGAGGAGTCGTTTCCTCTTGGAGACGGCAGCTGATTGGCTGCTTCCCTCCGTGACTTCATGCTCTTTAACTTGGGTAAAGTGCACAAACAACTGGGAGGGAGGAAACTGAACAGATTTAATGAGCAGATGTTGACGTCTTCAGCTGTGCTCACATAAAAAAGACACACAAACCTGTTTTCCTACCACAATAAGCAGTTTGGTTTAAGTCAGTAGATCTGCAATGACTGGTCCAGATGATGCACTTCTCTATACATTACATAATAAATTAACGTTCCACTCAGCTGGAATGCCTGAGTTGAGTAAAGAGATGAGCTAAAGGAGTGAAAGTGCTCGAGTAGATCGATGTCACTCACCCGCGGCTCACTTTCATATTTTACTTTCAGGAGTCTCACACACTGACGTTGTGATGTAATATTTTTACAAATTTCTCTTCCTTATAAGAATAAAAAAATCAAGTTTCAAGAGATTTTTCCTGAGTAAAAATAGTTCCCATTTATTGTTGTGTTGATTGTTGTTTTAATGGATACAGTCATAAACAAGGTTTCCACTTAAAAAGCATAGAGTTTAGAAATAAAAAAAGACATGATTTGGCTCAATGTGTCAGCAGCACAAAAAGGAAAAGTGGTTTAATTCTTTTATTTTGTGGTTTCTGTAGAGCAAACCTCAGCCGGACCGGAGGAGGGCGAATCCCTCAGCACCTTGGTGATCTCTCCCCCCACAGAGAGCTTAAAGCCCACCATGTCTGGAGCTTCTGAAGGGAAAGCTGCTGCTGTGCAGCCAGTGATGGGCATCAGCCAGAGAGTTCGAACAGGACCTAAGAAGAAGAAGGACCTCGGCACCACTGGTAGCTCCTGTAGTTAGTCATATATGATGAGGATGAACTAAAACTTTMTTTGTACCACCTAATCTTTACCTTTTGTTTATCCAGGTTATGTCCTGGGCATCCTCATGATGGCAGTTATAATCATGCTGGGAGTCGGCATCACGCTGGGCTACTTCTATAAAAGGTCAGGATCTAAAACACATCATCAGCTCCCATCAGGGGTCAAATGTGAGAAATACTTTTCACTATCACCTGACAGGTTTCAGTAGCTGAGAGTCCTCCATCATATACTAAGTGTTGTTTGCCTAAAACCTTGATCGATTTAAGATGGCTGAATTAACTTTACCCAACACAAACATGACTCAGTCAGTTTTATAAATATTAAGCTAAAACCTGATGTGTGAGTAACAGAGTTTTAACTAAAACACCTGTAAGTCTAACTTTCAACACACAATGATTTTAGTTTAAAATGTTAGTATTAAATATAGTGAGTGATATGCATCCTTTTAATAAATTCTAGGTACATAATTTATGAAATGTACATTTTTTTTGTTTTTGTTTTTAGAAAACCTCTTTGTGACTTTTTTTCATTTGGCTTCGACGTGAAGCCAAAACTTAATGGCTGAAAAGACTTTTTACAGCTGCCCTGCTTTCTGTTAATAGCCTACAGTATRTGCCACGGACATCCGGTCCAGCACTTGATGCCACTTCCGGTTCGTGGTCAACACAGTGTTAGCGAAAGAATTTTTCACCCGACAACGACTCTTAATGATCTCCACAGTAAAGAATTAGCATATTACATGTACCAACATAAACACAGGTGACATACAGGTCCAGCCAAGTGGGGAAAAATCACTCCAAAGTGGATTAAAGCCATAAAAACAAAGGAAAGATGTTCGTGTTTATGGTTCCAGAATTTAGCATTTTTCGCTATTCTGTGGCTGCTTGTTCTGTGAATTTTTCACGTAGAGCTGTGACACTTATATTGTTGGAAAGAGCAGAGTCTGGGCTTTAAATTGATGGGCTACTTGTTTGGTTTGAATCGTTTTCCCTGACGTTAGTGAACTGAAAACGTAATGATTATCAGGCGGAGGTTCTGCTGCTCTCGGTGCTCGGGGGCGCGCTCGTCACTCGGCTTTAGTCTACGCTGTAATATACACTCTAACAAGTTTTTACTTTTGCATAAAACTCATGACAAAGTTGCCTAAATAAATTTCACACTCTGTATAACACAAATGCGCGCACACGCACACACCTACCTTTACCGGCTGCTGTGTTAGCTTCCTGCTAGCTGTCGTGTGGAGGTGGTCTTTCCTCTCCCGGTCTTGGAGTAAAAGGGGATAAATGTACATTTCCCTTTTGTAACMYCCRTCTTCTCATTTCTGATGCTGACTCTTGAATATCCTCAGGTTAGAAATGCTGATTACAAATGCAAGCATGAGCTTTTAAAGATAAGTTTTGCCTGTAATGCTATGATCCACTGCTGTCACCTCCTCATCTAGAGGAAAATGGAGAAAAACTAACTACTCGATCGTATCTGCTGCTTAGTGGACACACCGGCACACAACAGAACACACGTTTTACACCAGTAGCTCRCAGATGCTTTAACTTTTGTGACTTTTTCTAGGAGCTTAAGCTAAAATCATAGGCAGTAAGCAAGAAGTGGAAGGTAGGAGCGTGGCAAGAATTTTACCGGAAATACGTCATTAATGACCGTGACATATAGGCTATCCTCTGATTGTGTCAGTGTTGGGTGAAAATGATCCCACCCATTCACTTCTGTAACACTGCATTGCAAAAATCAGACTACATTGGACCCAGCATCTACTTAAGCCGAGCAGAAACACGAACCGTTTCTGACGTTTAAACACACACATACAGTTGTGCTAAATTTTCTTCTGATTCAGAGAAATCAGACAGAATTTGATACATTATTAAATAGATGTACACTCACCGGCCACTTTATTAGGTACACCTGTTCAACTGCTCGTTAACACTTAATTTCTAATCAGCCAATCACATGGTGGCAACTCAGTGCATTTAGGCATGTAGNCCCACCCATTCACTTCTGTAACACTGCACGGCAAAAATCAGAGTACATTGGACCCAGCATCTACTTAAGCCGAGCAGAAACACGAACCGTTTCTGTCGTTTAAACACACACATACAGTTGTGCTAAATTTTCTTCTGATTCAGAGAAATCAGACAGAATTTGATACATTATTAAATAGATGTATTGTTTCCAGTGTGGCTTGTTTGTGATCCTAAAAGAAATTTTACAGCAAAACRTGTTCTGAGAAAACTGTAACTTTAGGCTGAGGCAGCCTCTCAGCTTTAAAATCAAAATGTTTTCTTACAGTAATGYAAGTATAACATTCCCCCATGATGGTGCCTGATTTTCCACCTCCACTTAATGTGTCCATTTTAATAGCTTTGTCACAACGAGACATGAAGGGGAACATGGAGCAAAATGAAATGCTCGCATGTTCAAGCTGTCCTGATTTGATTCTTTGTTGTTGTTGTTGTTGTTGTTTTAATTGGGTGTGGAGGATTGGATTGTGGGCGAAAGAATTATCTCCGGTTCTGTGACGTGCAAAGTGACGCCCATATGAAGAAAAAAAAAAGCGAGGGATCCGGTTTTTGTTGGCACAAAATGTTCTTAGAATCTGCGTTTTGGCTGTCAGGCCTGATCAGCACCGTCTTGCTATTTATTTTTAGGAAGTGATTGTTAATGTGAAGTACGTCACGGATGTGTCAGGGTTTATAACCCGCCCTCGCTGTGCAGTGACGTTCTCCTCAGCAGTGGCAGAGATTATTTAGAATTTTTCTATTGGCTGCTGATGATCACTTCCGACTCCAAACAAGTCTTGTTACGGCGTTGTGCAGAGGAGTGTGGGAGTTTATTGACAAGAACACTGGTTCTTTTCAGGCATCTAACCAAACATCCAAATCTCTGCAGCGATATCCGTGTGACTCAGTTTGAATTTCCTTCATTGCTGCTTCAGACTCTTTTATATCTCTTCATTGCGATTCGAATGGGTCGACACCCTTCTCACGTCTCTGGCAGACGGCTCACTTCGCTCGCTGCAAAGACAGAAATAGAGGGAACAGTGCTAACGTGGGATGTTTGCTAGGCAACCAGCTCCGAGACCTTTCTGGAAACCGTACGTCACAGAACAAAAGGGGGTTAGCGAACCCCTGAAAATAGATTAAAGTGGAATAAAAGGCTTCGGTTCACGCAGGCAGGAGCAGARCTGCACATCGTGCTGCACTGAAGCAGGCAGGTTGGAGGTGTTTTTAAATGGAGAACGTGAGTTGGTTTTAGCTCGGGGACAGGATAAGAACCAACACAAACCACTYGTTAGTCGTTTCACTGAAATCTTTTCTTTTTTTAACTACAGATCAGCTTCTGTCAGATCTGRAACCTTTCTAGCTTTAACTTATGATAAATTAGAAGCCTGACTACACCARGCATCATATTCTGCTGGAAGAACTTAGTTTTTGAAACAATCAAGTTTTGATTCAGAGTTCAGGATTAATGGAATATTTTAACACAATGACTTTTCTGTGAGGAACTGTTGGAATTTTTTTTTTTTTTTTTTGGATGGGAGGACCTTTAGCGTTCTTTCTCTTTTGTGGGGCTCATTTTGGGGCTGATCTTTCCCCTCACACCGGCACATTGCCAGTTTGTCCCCCGACTGTTTCTCCATCCGGTGGCACCGTCAACCTGCCAGCACTTTCCARGCTTTTTGGCAAAAGGCAAAGTAGAGAAAAACAGTCTAGTAGGAAGGCAGAATAATTCAAGAAGTAAATCATCAAAGCCCAGAATAATGACAGAATGGGTGCTAATACAGGGCTGTGCGGAAGTCTTAAGTCTTTTCAGGTTTTAGGCCTTTTTTTTTTTTACTCATTTCTCATCCTTTACCTGACTTGTTTTGGAAGCGTAAAGTTATTTTGTTCACAAAGCCTAAGAAACAATCAGYCATGAAAACCCAGTTAGTATTTTACAAGGAAGTCTGTCTCATCAAAAGCAAAACATAAAGAACTTCATTTTTGCACAGAGGTRTATGAACAGTAAAAACATATTTACATCAAAATTTAAATGTGATGGTGAACCCATAACATTATTAGATTTAATTTAAAAAGACCATTCAGCTGACATTAATGTTTCTAAATCAAGGACATATTTTCCTATTTACAGTGAACAATTTCTTGCTGTGATCTTTGCAGGTTTTACAGCTTGTTTTATTATTTGTCTTAAAGTGCCTGTGACATAACATTTTTGTAAGAAATATGAATTCATGTTTGGAAAGATAACGTTTATATAACATTGCAAAATAATAATAATAATAATAATCACTCCYCTGAGATGAACAGTTGTCGAAATATTTTCATAGGAGGTAACAGGAAGTGATGTCAAAGGGGAATGTCTTCATGTAAACAGAGTGCTGCAACAACAGTTAACAAAACTGACTGTAGAGAAGAATCTGATTTTGTTTCTTTAGACAATTTTGAGTCATTATCTGAGAGATATGATAGAGTCAGAGCTCTAATTATATTGTTTCAATAAATAAAAACCAAAGAGTTTTCTTTCTTGAAGATTTACTCTTTGATGTCACTTCCTGTTTTGTTTTGGCTGAGCTAAGTTAAAAAAATGTAACAAAATGGATACAATCATGTGTCATATGCCAATTTTGTTAAATACAAAGATGGTTTCTCTGACCTTTTGTATTTAAATGGTATGCATGTCACTAGCACTTTAAAGTAATATGTAACTTAAATTGAGATTTAAAAAAATATTTGAAATCCAATTTGTTGCACACACCTGTGTCACTGGATTGTGACCACGGTTCAGTGTTTTGCCCACATTGTTTAGGCGAAACGTTCGATTTATCTGTGCTTTGTGTTTGTGTCTCAGGGCCCGAGACTTAAAGAAGCAGCATGAGCAGCGGGTGTACGAGCGCGAGATGCAGAGGATCACCCTGCCCCTGTCGGCCTTCTCCAACCCCACCTGTGAGCTCATAGATGAGAACACCATAGTGATCACAGCCCAGCAGGAGACCAGCCCCGTGCAGGAGGGCGGGGACCCTCTCATGGGGCAACACGCCGGCACTCCCGGAGCGTGAGCCAGCACGCCGTCTTCAAACAAGACTGTGATCCGGCGTTTATTGTTCTAAARCATCCCACATCTCCTTGTCTCTCTGAGTTGAACTAAACGCTGTGTTCTTTGTGTCCTTTACACATGTGAGGCACAAACACAATGGACACAGTCTGAACAACTCAAACTGCTGTTAAAGRGGACTTMTCACAAGGACTTCAATATTATCATCTGATGCTTTTAGGAGACAAACTGTCCTCGTACAAAAACAAAGTTAAATATGCTGTCGGATAGACTTTGATAAGTCTGTATTTGATAAAAGCAGGGCTTTAAGAGGAGATGATGATGATGACTAGAATGGGGAAACACCTACATTTACTTGTTCTCCCAGGAAGGTGTGGCCACATGATGAATGGGTTTTATTTTGGAGACACACTGGAGACAGAACCGTGTGYCCAAACACAGTCATCCCTCTCTGCTCAGAGGGACACATGAGGCAAACAGGCCCTATCAAAAGGACATCAGAAAGCCTCTAGCTCAGAAACTGCCTTAGCTTGATTCTTCTGAATGTATTTTTTTCCTCTTGTTTGTTCTCTGCCTGGTCAGTAGAAGTTCTRAAAAAAAAAACCCCACTGATGATCATCTACAGTTTGGGCATGAAAAGAAGACGTTTCCTTTTTTCATCCACAGGTTAAGGAGTGACAGGAATTAAATAAGCGTGCTCTCAGGATGTATGCGACACAAACGTTAGTCCTCAGGACAAAATAGCACTGCCACAACAGAGATGGGATTAAAAAAAAGCCTGAAGTCTAGGCAGTGCATGACTGTGCTGCAGAAACGTGCTCTTAGATTTTGTTATTCAGAGATTTGAAGTGTGCAGTTAATGCCTCAGAGTAAGAGTGGAGAATGTTGGAGGACGGGGGCGCTCCAGCGTTTGTTGGCGTTCATTTCAGACATTCGAAAACACGTGTGCATGTGCATGACTACGTGCTGTTTGCCTTCAGTTATTTCATCTTTAAGAATAAAAACTACATTCGTTGTAGGAAAATACATGTTGTATGTAAGTAGAAATCTTGACACAGATGATTTTGATTTATGCACTTAGGTTTTATTGTTTCCATTTTATTGGTGAGTGAATTGATCCACATGTTGTGGTTGTTGCTGGACCTTCATCACTGGTGATTGTTGTAGATGTTTTCATTATTTCTTGTGTCTGTGTGCTCATTTCCTTGATTTTTTTAGGCACTTGTCGAAATATTTTTGATGCTCCGACTGAAATAAAATAAACCAGACATTTAAGTATTCTTTTTTTTTTAAATAAATAAGAAATTACTTCAAACTACAGACAATCTGATATAAATGTACAGGGATGAGAGGGTTTACTCTCAAAAACATTTTAACTCTCACACCCTCTGCTGGTAGATCTACAGAACAACACCTAAAGTTAAAAGAGGCATACTGTATCTGGATGAGAAGTACGAGCAGGACACAAAAATTTAAAGAGGCCTCTCAGAAAATAAAAAATACACTTCACACAAATAGTAAGTAAACTTGTGTTTCGTAGACTATTTCTTTGTAACAATTTTTTTTTTTTAGCAAAAAACCTTACACCAGGCACCTGATTAGCAGCACTTGGGGTAGCAGAAGCTCAAAACAAGTCAATAACAGTAAAATAAGCTGTTTGGCAGATAGGATTTGGCTGACTTCTCATGTGTGCAACTCACATACTCAACTCTCTCCTGCTCATCCCACAAATGCATGTTCCTTACAAATGTGGCACCATTTAAAATAGAAAATACCAGGCTTTCCAAAAACACGAGCTGTTCCCAAGAATCATTGTTAAAGAAATAATCTACTACACATACATTTACTGACTCTGAGCTAAGGTTTTACCTGAAAAAAAAATCCTCATAACTTGTGCCAGGTTTGACTTTTTTTTTTTAGCTTAACGGTGAGGTTCTGTGAAGGCTATTATCTGCTCTAAGCTAGTGYTGTAAGAGTTTATTTTTAAATAGAATAAAATAATGAGGTGCAGATAGCCAGTATTCTTATAAGGATGCAGTCTGTCCAGAGTTATGATTTTTCTTTAAATATAACTGTAAGCACAATAAGTTGTGCTGCTCTTAATTTGATGTCAAATTTGGAAAAGGTCATTTATACAAAAACATGAAACTCCTGAAGTTCAGTTCTGGTTTTTGGTCTGGTGTACCAGCCCAGGACTTAAAGTGGCCCCCATCTGGCCACCCCTTTGAATTTTTTCCTGTCGTTTTTAAAGCACTAGATATTTAACTATTCTCCTAAATGGCAAAAAGAAAGCAGCTTAAAAACGATTTTACTGTCAAAAAAGAACCAATAGTGACAATTTTAAAAAGCAACTTTCAGAAGGTTTATTCATGAAACACTACAGCGATATAAATAAAAGTGGTTACAACTTGGTCTTCAGTACCTTGCTCAATGATAGCAAACTGTTGTCGAAATGTCTAAACATCTACAAATCCCCGTTAGAAAATCCAGTTAGAAGTATCGTATGTACATATTTATACACAACACAAAACGAAAGGAAAAAAAATTCTCATCTCATTGTACAAAATTTTCATTGACAGTTTCCACATGATTATTTCTGACAATTCATAACATTTCAAACAATTTTGTCTTGTTAAAAAAATCTAAAGTGTTCAACAATTAATCTAAAAAAAACTAATCAAACTCTTCAGATTAAAAGACAAGAATGAGAACAGTGATACTTGGAAAAAAAAAGACCGTCTCTACTGATTAGTGCTGAATCAGCATGATAAGACCATTCTGGGTCAGAGTACTCTTTTTTTTTGTTTGTTTGTTTTGCTTTGTTTTTTCCCCGTCACCACAGCTGCTTAAAATTAAAACCCGTTACCTTCATTCATGCTTTGCCTCTAGTCTCCAGTGCTGGYCACTTTCATTGACTCTCAGAAATTTCAAGCACAGATTTTTTTTTATATACAGTATATTAAAAATAGTATCAGGGTTTTAAAAAAAGAACAACCAACTCTCAAAAAAAACATGATTAAATTTGAACAAGATGCACAATTCAAACAAAATCTAATTAGGATTTTATTTTTAGTGCTTAATGTTGCCTTACAGGAGCGTTCTTGGTTTAAATCTCAGCTGTGGCGTTTTTTTTGTTTTAAACAGGACAGGAAATGTTTTAATGTCTCTGTGGGCTCGTGCGTTTTGGTTTCTGTCCAGATCTAGTTTCTTTGCCRAAACTATGAGTGTAAGACTAACTTAACTAACAGAATACAAAACTGTTATCAAAAATAAACAATTGCAACAAGTGAACCACTAGAGATGCAAATATCTGTGTTAGAACAGTTTGAAATGAAATTTAGCCTTTCAGGATTATAAAAAAACAATAGTTTCAGACCAACCTTGAACTATCTGATGTGTTTTATTGTGTTTATCAGTTATTCATCTATTTGTCCATTCAGGGAAGGAAGCACCACTGAGAACGAGACAAAATAGCAAGGGGTGATTAAAATAATTATTTTAAAATCAGTCCCTGGTGGAGAAATTAAGACTAAATGATTGCTCGTTATGAGTGCAGTCTGTCTGTTCACTCTGTGGTTAAGGAGCGTCAGGACAAGCAGCAAAACAAGAAGCTAAAAACAAATAAAAGTTTGGTGTTTTCCTTCTGTTCTGGTGCCATATTGTATTTTGGGTGCATTATTTGTTTATATTTTTTATTTCACTCAAATTCTTTAAACATCAAAAATAAAAATTCCTTCTAGTTTTACATTTGTAACACTTTTCCACCCGCTGTGCTGAAAGTTACAAGGTGCCGACAATCCCAACCTGCGCTTCATCTCGACTGTCAGGGAATCGGGTTTTGTTAATTGCTGAGGTTAAACCACTCCTCTTTAAGGCACGGAGCGAAAACAAAAACTTCATAGCCAGAAAAACACAACTGTCTCGCCTTACAAAACATTCTTGTCTATTAGGAAAGAACCGTGTGAGGGTTTGTCTTTTCAAATAGTAAACTTTAAAAAAAAACTGTGCCGTTAAACGTAATAAAAGTAATTAAATGTTAACTGAAATGCGTTTTTTTAAGTCAATGCAGTTCACTGGTTCTCTGAATCATGGATCAGGGCAACTGGTCCAGCTATCTCAGGTGATCCAGTTCTAACATGGCTCGGGTTCCTCCCTCCTGTTTTTCTCAGCCACTGTATTTGTGCAGCAGTTAAGAGGCATCAAAACRGTTTCAAAACTGGTCAAACAGCCACAAATCCTATGTGCCATTATCGGTCAGGTTGGTGCAGTCTGGTGAGGAGGCTGTCGGCGTTAATGGCTGTTCTGTGGCCTGGATGGGATCTTTAGGCCAGTAGAGTTGACTCAGATTCTGATGCAGTTCATCCAGTTCAGCTGGAAGAGGGATTCCCAGCTCCTGGTTAAGAGAAAGGGCTTCCAACCAGTCCTCGAGTTTCTGGAAAGGTGGACTGAGGAGGGAGGAGAAAAACAAAACAAAACATCAGTGAAGGCAAAAAGAAGTTTGTAAGGTTAGAACCAGACAGACGAGGTTGACAGAAACACGAGGAAGCAATCTGGCAGCAGAGGCGTGTCCGTATGAAAGCAGGTCCAGATGGTGTCTGAAAGTGCTGGTTCCTTGTTTAAGTGCTGTGTGACGGCCCTGAGGTGCAACAGCACTGGACAAATCCCAGCAACTCAACAAAACACTGGATTTTACAAAGCAACGCAGAAAGTCAAAGTGGTATAGAAACAAACAAAAAGAAAAAAATAATAATTTATGCTTTTCTTTTTAATTGTTGAGTGACCATCTGAATCCATCATTTTACCAAAAAACACAACAGAAAAGGAAAAAGTGAAATGTCTTTGCATAKTCTCTAAAATTAGCTAAAAAACTAGCATGTAAATTAGGTTTGATACCATTATCTGTTCTGTCATTTCATTTAGAGCTCAGATTATTGACAACTTGAAGAAAAAAAAGGAATAAAAGACCCTCTGTTAATTATCAGTTCTGCAAAAATAAATCAAAGTGAATATAGTGTGATCAGTTCTCTGAATAAGAGCAGACACTCACCGGTTGTCTGGTGACAGATCACAACACGCCACYGCCAGCGAAAAGAAGGCAGGTGGACAGTCTTCAGGGAGAAACTTCTCCACAAACTTGCAGACGTTAAGGCCGAAGTCCAGAGTTCTGGGGAGGCACTCGGGGTCCGCATAAACCTTCCCAATGATCTGATTTACAGGAAAACTAATTCATCATAAATGTCGGTAAAAAGACATCAAGCATAAACAGAGTTTTATTTAATCTAATTATTGAGAATACAGTTTACATTATAAAACTGCATCAACGCACACAACAGTTTTTTTAGGTCTTCAGGTGTCAGGTTTGTCATTTATTCATTATATAAACCCTGTTTCCATTCAGATGTGAGATAAATGCAGACATTTGTGTGATACCAGCTCCTCACCTCACAAAGAACAATCCCAAAGGAGAAAACGTCCACCTTTTCATCGTAGCGTTTGCCTGAAATGACAACAAAGATAAGTCCCCTCCTCTCTACATCGGCTCCTTTTTCACCTTTGTTAATGACTCACCATTCAGCATCTCTGGAGCCATCCAGTAAGGGTTTCCCACCACTGTGTACCGCTTCTTTCGGTCGATGCGCCTCAACACCCTCTTTTTATTGGAGGGTTTTTCAGGTGGAGGTTTAACTTTTTCTTCTTTGATGAGTCGGGAGAGTCCAAAGTCTGCCACGACTACAGTGTTGTCCTGTAGACAAAAGAAAAGCAGACGACTTCAAGATGGTATAAAAACATGTTTAAACACGAAAAAGAAATCAATCAAGGAGTGTTAAAAACTCTAAAAAAGATTCAAATAGATGTTTATAAGCATGGTGACTCTGAGGAGTAATTTTATTGTTTATGGATTTGTTCTGTTGTGTTTTGCACAAGTTCTTTCTGTAATTTAGCATTTTCTTGATTCTACGTTAATCTTTTCAAAAGTTAGTCCTGTTTAGAACAAACAAGCTTTTAATCACTGTAAAACATTAATAATTCACCTCACACATGTACTACTGTTAACCTGGTCTGCTGTGTATAATAACACTGATGTCACGTACCAGTTTAACCAGGCAGTTATGAGAATTGAGGTCTCTATGGATGATCCTCATCGAGTGAAGGTAGGCCTAAAAAAACAAACAAACAAAAAAACATCAGATTTGTAGAAGTTCTATAATAAATCTAAATATAAATCTATAATATTTTATTGCCACTAATAAAACAAGTTATCAGCTAATTACTGACTGTAACTTTAATAGTTTTAAGCGACATGATTTTAATCTTAGGGCTTATTGTGTTGGCTTTAGCTTCCATAAAATGAGTCATAGAGGTGCACGTTTTCACAGTCAACGTTAAAAGATTCATTTAAAGCAGTAATAAAAAGGGACAACTCACCATGCCAGAGGCAATGCCTTTAGCAAAGCTCACCCTTTGTTCCCATGGAAACAAGTCCTGTTGGTCCAAAAACAAAATTAATAAAAATAAAAAAATAAAGTCATAAAAATGAGGCAAATATAAACCTATTTTTAGACTAGATTTTAATAATGGAAGGTGAAGTGGTTGGATAAATAAAATCATTGGCCTGTCTCATCATACTTAAATTCTTACTGATGAAAAACAACCTCCTCCTAAAACTAATAAACAGAGAGGATAAGAGCACGACTGCTTCATTTCTACCTGCCACCTCTTCCTAATACGTTTCCAGTTCATCTTTAAGCCTGTTGACATGCCAGGCTGTCAATCATCAAGTTTACTTCAGGTCACCCTCTGAGTGCTTTGTGTTCTCTGCTGTGGAAAAGGAATCAAAACAAGTGGAACTCACCATGTCTCTGATGAAATCCTTCAGAGTGCCTCCCTCAATGTACTCCGTAATCAGATTGAGCTTCTTGTCTTTGTACAGCACACCGATAAACTTCAGAACGTGAGGGTGATCGAGGCTCCGCATTACTTTGACCTGGTTGGACGAGTGACAAGAATAAAAGTTAAAAAATAAAAAGAAGTTCCTCATTATGATACGCAAGTTATCCCTAATCAGTTCCTGGCAAAGGGAAGGGGACAGTTAATCCACAAGGAAAAAGGATTAAACAAATCAAACTAATGTGTTCCCACAAGCCCGATGGGACAACCTCAAAATAACGATGTACAAAGAGCCGATTGTTGGACAGTGTAGTGTGCTTTCGCTTGTGAACAGTGTTGTATAAAGTACCACAAAGTGATACTTGAGTAAAAGTACAAGTATCTTTTCAAAAAATTACTTTGGTAAAAGTTAAAGTTTCCTTTAGGAATATTACTTGAGTAAAAGTCTTAAAGTATTTGATATTTTTTGTACTTAAGTATTAAAAGTAAAAGTATTGATTTAAAATGAGCAGTTAGATTTTACATAATGACATTTATTAGGAAAAACAATGCAGAAATGACTATATCGTATTTAAAATAAGTCATTTATGTTAAATTTAGGATGCACTAGTCTGTTTCAGTTTATATACATATATCAAGGAGGCCCAAACATTTTCCCCATAATGAAAATCTATCTGAGGGCTGCGGCCAAATGCAATAATATAATTCATGAAAYACAAATACTTCTTAAGTACAGTCCTTTTATTTTAATGATTATGTCCTGCTGGAGTGTGACAGGATTTGTTTGTGTACAAACTAATACGGTATCAGAATTATATATATATTTATACTTCTCAGTCAACCACAATTAAATTCACTCTGTCTAGGAGGAACAATTTATATGGATAGTTTTTATTTTTATACAATAACAAGTTGGAATAAAAACAAGAAAAATGAAATAAAAGTAACAACTTTCTACTTCTTGTCTTTTTTAAAAAATGTAAGGAGTAGAAAGTACAGAAAATTGTGTGAAAATGTAAGAAGTAGAAGTAAAAATTAGGCTGAAAAATAATTACTCAAGTAAAGTACAGATACCCAAAAATTCTACTTAAGTACAGTAACAAAGTATTTGTACTTAGTTACTTTACAACTCTGCTTGTGAACATTAACACAGAGTTAGTTCTGTCTGAGAAATCACAGCTCTCCTGCTGCTGATTACCAACCTCTTTCAGGAAAGTTTTCTGCGTCTCTTCATCGCAGCGGATCAGCTCCTTCATCACCATCACTTCTCCTGTAGCTTTGTGAGTCACCTGCGATGAACACAAATGTCATTTGAAGCTGACAGAGTGCTGAACGATGGATATGACGCCTGGTGAAAAGCTGATGGCCCACCTTGATGGCCTGTCCAAAAAAGCCTTTTCCTAAGACTTCTCCGTGGATGAGGTCACACGGGCGGAAAATGCGATGAGAGCAGCTACTGGAGGACCTCAGGGACTCGGAGCGCAGGATGTCTCTTGTGATTAAAGGAGACTCTTTGGGTGAATTTGGTCCAGGAGATTTACATATACTGTTACTGCGCCTGTGAGGAATAAAAAAAAAAAAAGACATTTTAAAAGAAAGGTTCACTCTTCTCTCCTCTGCTACAGATCCACAACACAGAAGCCGCCCAACACACCTCAGAGACCTCCTTTTCAGCGTGCTGTCTTCAACCTTGTCAGTTCTCTCCACGACCGTGTCAGACGGCGAGGACAGACGCATACGGGACGTGGCGGGGACTTCTAACTGGCTCCTGGGCGATCCCAGTCTGAGCCGGTCCAAACGCTGCCTGACGGGGTCGTACTCTAWGAGCAGCTGCAGCGTGTGACTCGTTCGGTGAATGAGATCGTCCACCTACACCAGCAAAGAGAGCAACTTTATTACCAAATTTTGCAGATCAAAACTAATATCAATGGATGTCACAGTCATGGTTCAAAGTTTTGACAGTAACACAGATTGTCCTGATGCATCTCAGTAATCCAGGTAAAAAATCAAAGGAAAAAAAAAATTGTATAGGTCYTCTGGACGGGTTCTTCTTTAATGAAACGTTTCGTCTCTCTTCCAAGAGACTTCTTCAGTCTGAGAGTTTCAGGCAAAATTCAGGCTTTTATGTCCAGTAACACAGATTGTTATTTTCAGTATTTGTGTTTATAAGTCACTGTTTTTTTATTGTTGTGCAGATTGATCATCTTAATTAAAAAAGACACATCAGTTTAAAAAGTTTAGAACAAAAAACTATTTTTTGCCCTGGCACAAAATTACAAGCTAACTTCATTTCTGTACAAGTCTTGCCAAGGACAGCTAAGAAGCCACTTCCATCCAAGAAAAACATCAAGAACAGACTGAAATTTTGCAAGGACTACACAGACTGGACAACAGAAGACTAGTGCAAAGTTATTTTCTTTGATCAATCCTTCTTCCAGAGTTTTGGGACATCTGGAAAATCATTTGTCCCGCGTCGTGCCAACAGTGAAGCATCTTGATACGATCCATGTGTAGGGTTGCTTCTCATCCGAAAGACGGGGCTTACTCATAGTTCGGCTCAAAAACACTGCCCTAAATAAAGAGTGGTATCAAAATGTTCTTTAAACGCAGCGTCTTCCAACATAATTTGTTGATTTGTGTGTTTTCCAGAATGATAGAGCACAAAGGGTCACGAGGCAAAAGGGCAAAAATGACACACAGCCCGAAAACAGCAGTTCTAAATGTTGGGGTTGGGACCCCACTGTGGGTCCTAAAACATCAAGGTCGGGGTCTTTAAATGATTTTCTGAATTAATTACATTTAACATTGCATTTAATTTGACAAAAGTAGCATAATTAATATGAACCTCAGAGGGGATCGAGCGTTTTCAGTTGCTGCTCCGAAGCTCTGGAATGAGCTACCTCTACACGTCAGGCAGGCCTCCTCATTGGTTGTTTTTAAAACTAATCTTTAAACTTATTTTTATTCACTGGCTTTTAACACAGTTTTAGATCTTGGTCTTTTTTAGCTGTTTTTTGCTTGTTTTTAATGTTTGAGTGTTTTTAGTGTTGATTTGTTTTATTGTTTTTGGCCCCTCATGTTCAGCACTTTGTGTCAGCGGCCTCTGTTTTAAAGTGCTTTATAAATAAAATTGATTTGATTTGATTTAATCCTGTTACTTTGCCATTATTTTTTGACCTGATAGCAATTATCCAACCAAAACTAGCTGGCCTCTACTATTGCTATTTTGTGGGTTAAAAGCTGAAAAGTTTGGCCTACAGAAAACCTGTCAAAAGACAGGTGGATAGGATCAGAAAGGGTCACCACTAATTAAGATTTAGTCCAGAAGCTGATATTAACTATTTGGGTGAATAAAACACACTTGCTAGAAAACATTTTAATTTACAAACTGTTTGTCCATAAGTAAAACAGAAAACATGCAAAACCAACTAAACATACTGAATTCACAAAACATAATTTGTGCACAAACCTTTGGTCATCACTGTACAAATTAAAACAGTTTAATTAGGTCATAAATAGACTTTTAGCCAAGTTGGACATTAAACTAACAAAAAAAGCCTGATGTGATTATAAAAGAAGACTAAATGTACGCTTTGAAAGAGCAGCACAATAATGGTTGATGGGGGGAAAAAAGGAAAAGAAGGTAGAAGAAAACAAATCAATCAGGAACAAATCCTGYGGAATGTGTGGGAGAGGCTCTGAGGACAAGCCTTTAAGTCATTTCTGTACCTTCATCTCACAGCTGAGGAATGTGAGAACTACAAAAATCCACACGTGAATGTTTTTGTAAAACAACATACTTTTGTACTCAAGGCATGGAAATAATAAGGAAACCTGTGAGCTTCCTCATAACAATCTTAACTGACATGTTTATTTGCTCACCTCCTCCTCCAATAATGTCCCAACAGGAAGTCCATTGATCTCCAGGATCCTGTCTCCAACATGGATGGCATTTCGCACCTCTGGACTGATCAGCATCCCTCTCACCCTGGAACCAAACAGTACAAACACAATGTGAGTATYTGGTTCAGTTTGTGAAATTCTCTGCGAGTCAATTTGTGAATGCTCGAGAAAACAAAGTGAAACGAAGCGACACACCTCCAAATGTAAAAACCTGCTGTTTAACCAACCTGTAATCAGTCTTACACAAGGCATTACTCATCCTGTAATCACGCGACGGTGAGACATCACTCACCAACGTGTCCCACTTACTCTTTGACTTGAACGCTCGCCGAGCCGTTGACGTCCCTGAGCACCGTCACGGAGAAGCCCCTTTTACCATTGGCTGCAGACGGCATTGAGATGAGGGTCACCGTGTGGGGCAGCGAGTCCAGGATGGAGTCATGTGAACGTTTTTCCAACATGGGTGTAAGAACCACCTGCTTGTAGCACTTTCCACTGCACACAAGAGAGAGGAAGCAATAAGACACCAAATCATACAGGAAGAATTCAAGAGAGAATCTTGTAATAGTAAACTGGTAAAAAAAAGAAACTTATGGTGAATGAAATATGTTGTGACATCTGTATTGTAATCATTGTGTGTTCCCATACAATAATTAAATTAGTGCACGCCATTTAATGCATCACACGTGAGATACACCCAACTGGAGCAGCATGCAGCTATGTAAGCACCTGAGAGGCAGTTAGGGTTAGTAGGTGTCTTGCTCAAGAACAGCATAATACTGTATATGGGAATGAAAACAAACCAGTGACTTTCCAGTCCCAAGTCAGCTGCCCTACCATTGCACCACAGCCACTAATAATATGCATTCACAAAACCATAAATAATTGCACAAAAAACACACTTTAAAGAATGTGGCCCAAAACGAATGATAAATTTATATGAAAATTAGAGTTGGGCAGTATTGGCAAAAAATTAGTTATCATTAATTGTGACATTTAGCTGATAATGATAAATATGTCAATTAACAGATGACAAAAGTGTACAAATCAGTTACACTGTTTTCTAATATTATACTTACTAACTTCTTCATTTTAACAGGGTACAACATTAAGCTGTCAATTAAAACCCACCTTCTCCACAGTATGGAGTGATAGGTAGTTACTAATGCAATTTATRGGCTCATATGAGGGCTTGATAGTGAGTTGCACCCAAAAATACATCACATGGCACTAATTTCAGTAATTGCAAAGTGGCAAATATTAATTGTTGACAGTTTTTCCTGATGACCAATTGCTGCATCAATAATTTTACAGTTGTTAATTCATGACCTCATTGCTAAAGTACACATCAAGAATTAAATTAATCTCTGCATATGGATCTACAAAACCAGAGTTTAGATTCCACTGTAGGCTGTAATGCAAGAGTTTTATTATAAGGTTATTTGTTATGAGATAAAAACAAGCTGCCATAAAGTTTGAAGTTTTTTTTATTAAACTGCTTTTTATTTGACATATTGGCAACATTAGTATATTTTAACCAACAACAGAGTTTTAAGTGGCCTATTTTAGACAAAAAATGTAAATGAACACCCTCCAGTTTTCAAACACGTTTAATGAAAATTTACTCACCAGTAGAGTTTTGACCGCTCGACTAAAGCGTAGGTATCTCTGTCTTCAATCACCACCTTGCAGCTCAAACACACAAAACACTCAGGGTGGTACTTGTGTTCTCCAGCCACCTGGAAGCACAAATAAACCAGATAATCTTCCATTCAGCCAAAAGAAGAGGCAGTATCCGTGCTCAGCTGTGTCATGGATCGGAGTGTTGTTTGCTTTCCGGCGCTCTCCTGTGCTCTGAGCAATGACACAGTGGCAACACCTGCTTTGCTCTCAGTCTGTCTGGAATCTGCTATGATGTCACCTTGTCTTACGGCTGTTCTCGCTTTCAGGCTTTTCTCCTTGACACATCCTACACATGATTAACCAATTTCCCCTTTCCCTAATTCAACTCACACTCCCACAACATCTGCCTCGTCTCATCTCTCTCCCATGCAAGATGAGATAATGTTTCAGTCTGTGAAAAAGCAGGCTGCTTAATCAAACACGTGTTCAACAAAAAGGCTGACTTCAGATTTGGTTAATGTGGGGGATCACATTTTTTTGAAGTAGAGTTCTGTGAAAAGATTGGCAAAATTTAACTAAATTAATTAATGTAGATAGTTCTTTACATTACTGGATTACTTATCAACGACCATACATTAATGAACATTAGAGAAACGTAAATGTATCGGAGTTAGCCAAGACTATTTTTCATTTCTTGTCCTTAAAAATGGCATTACAAGTAACCCTAAAAACAAACAAACTCTGTTTGGAGAAGTTGTAGAAAAACACAAAATATTCTCAAAATATTTTATAGACTTTGTCTCTGAAGCCATTTAACAAACATTTGTAATATTTCCATTCGTAAGCTGCTTTTTTGTTTGTTTGTGTGCTGAACTATGAATGGATTATGCAAAAAGACATTTCTATTTTAATACTCATGGTTTTATCTGAAACTTATGCACACTGAAAAATATGTTGCTTTGTAGTATTTTTCCAACACTTGCCAATGCTCTGAGTCAGTGGGAGGGTGGTGGGAAAGGATTTCTTTTTGCTGTTCGAAGATTATGTCAGCCAACAGTGTGACATCTCAAGCCTTTAACTCCTAGCCTCAAAGCAAAATAACACCCACCTACACACCTAGGTTACAACATGCTTCAGGCCCAAACATTTAGACAGAGCTGTAAGAAAAATGAAAAGAAAAAAAAGTAGAAAAACTAGGCGGCTTCATTTTTTCTAACAAAGCAAAAACACCATTTAAAAGAATTTTATCAAATTGACAAACAAGTAATTAACTAGAAGCACTCGGAGAGTGCAAACCTCGGCCAAGACCAATTTCCCCCATCCTGTAATAAGAGTAAATGCGCAAAAAACAGAGATGGAAACACATTTGCCGAATAAATTGACGTAGCGAACATTTAAGCAGGCAGTATGCATGGGATTTCTTCCTGGTGAAGTCCAATGTGAAAAAAAAAAAGTCAGACGCGTCACCCGACGTTATTCATTGTCAAACTGGTGTCGGATTAAGCTCCTAAGTTTTCATCAGTCACATTTCACTGTGTAAAACGTCTGTTTTATCCCCTTGTATGAGTTTGTAATGGTTTGACTCTCTTTATAAAGTGCTTCCTGGCTCCCCCTGTCTCCAAACTTTGAGGCCCGGCCAGAAGCTCTGTGTTTACAAGCCTAGTTGTGAGAAACTGTTTTGATTGGTTGTTTCGGAAATGTGGTGTGTTTGAGGAAATGGGAAAAATGGGTTTCGTGGTCCAGTCACGCCCTTCCTGGTCAGAAAACGTTCTCTAAATGCACACCAAATGTGTATAAATGCGTACATTTTGGCAAAAATTATTCATCATTAAATCTGGTTTTAACATTGCTTTTATAACGTCTGAAGTCCGTGCTGTCCAATCCAGTTCAAATGAGCACTGAAAGTTCTCACTGTTTTTTACAGAAGCCATGTGAAAGCATCACAGCTTTGCCGATCTCAGAGGATAAAAAGAAAAAAAATTCCTGTATCCGCTTCGTGATCCGGAACATCACCAAAATGTAACGGTGTGTTACTTGGGCCATTACACACGTGGTAAAAATGTAATGACAATCCATCCACAGGTTTCTGAGTAATGTTGTCCACAGACAGAACGACAAGACTGATGGACATACGCGACCAAAAACATTACCTCCTTGGCGGAAGAAACCAGGTTAGAAACCATTCTGTTCAGGACTTGAACGCCTGACATGCAGCTCTGTATGAGACTCCTCTGCCACCAGACCTCAAAGATGTTTTCTGTTTTCCTGAAAGAGGCTGTGATGCCAGGTGAATTCTGCCAAAAACACTCTGCTTCACTGGCTGATGAAGCTGGGCGGCAGAACAAAATAGAAGAGTCCATTATGTTTGTTGCTTGGCGGCAAAAATAAAAGCATCAGTCTGCCTGTTAGACAACTAGTTGTTGCTAATTGGATTCCGAACACGTAGATATAAAATTTGGCTGATATTTGTTTTACTTCTGCATTTAAACTTTCTCTACTTATTGCATCAGATGTTTTTAGGCGTTTTATGTTTGGAGGAAGTATTGTGCTATTTTCTTCATAAAATCCTGCTCGATTATGAGATACTTGATATCTGGGAAGCCATCGGTGCAGATCGTATTATGACTGTGGGGAATATCAACAGAGCCTTCTCACCACAGGACTCAACATGCTCCAAAACCACCACATGTTCTAGTGTGTTCCCACTGGATCCTGAATGTGGGGAAGTGGAGAACTTCTGTACAAAGAAGGAAAAAACTGGGGCCTCAAGGGGGGAAAAACTCACTGGCAAGTCAAGTCTGCAGAGCCCCTACTGCTAAAATCAGCAAAAGCCCAAGAATCACCAACTTGTCTTTTATCATTCTTGATGATAGAAGTCACTATGAAACAACTAAACAAGAGCAACATCATCAGATTTTTTTATTATTCAAGAAAACTGTTTATTGGTTTTAAGGGTTTAAATTATGACCGTCTGTTAAACTGTGGCCAACATATAAAACAATAATGGTCAAATTGTCCTCATTGCTTTGATTTAATAATGTTGAGTCATAAAAAAAATTTTCTGAGCAGCAACAAGAAAAAAGCCTGGAAATGTGAAATTATAGATCCCAGCTTTGCTTTGCTTGCTTTTCTTCCCATATTAAGTGCACACATAACCATTAAACTTTACTTTTTACAAGAAAAAAAAAGTTCTCCTCATCAGAAGAAAACGCAGAGCTCCAAACACACACCATACACAAAATATACCCTATAACTTTCACTAGTTTAAGTAACTGCCAATTTTTAAGATTAAAAGGCTTCATCTTGAACATATTTTATGACATTAACACATCTTAGGCACACTAGAAAACTTCCTTGACAATACAGTATTTTACATGGTATTCATATTAGTTTTACTTAAAACGTGTTCCTACAGGTTTACTTTTCTCGTTTTAATCACTTTATTTAAGAGTATTAAGGCAGAGAAGAAAAATAAAGCAAGACAAGTTTTTGGCTGCAGAATGAAAACCACTTGTTTCTTATCTTTAAAGTGCTCTGAAACTGAATTTTAGAAGGGAAGATTAGAGGATACTCTCAGTGCTTTTAAGAATTATTATACACCATTTGAATGATTAAACTGAATCCCTGTTTGAAGTGCTGACCAGTCTGCTGGAACCCAGCCAAAACCAAAAGAAACTCATTATATATATATA